AGACACCACACAAACCTACTATTTCAATCCTGGCAATATTGCTTAATGCCGCCAATTATCCTTCCCCACTTGTATCCCACATCAATTACGTGCCCCTTTCATTAATTCTGCCAGGCACCTGATTGTCAATCTCACGGAATTAGAATCCCATCTGATTGCCTAGCACAGCCGCAATTCCGCAGCACAGCCACAATTCCGCAGCTCAAATAGCAATTCCGTGGCATTAGCTCTGATGCCGTGACCTTTCCTCAGTCTTTACTAAGGCTGTTATACCGCCAAGAGATTGCTGCAAGCATCTACTTCAGTACACTTGCTTCAATGTACTTTGCCGCAGCAACACAGCAGCTCAAAATTCCGGAGATCGGTGGCATTCTTGCTAATCACTTCATCTATATGCAGTAAAGCCATATGGGTGCTGTTACTTTAGAACCTTGGGAACATGTGTTTGGTATCATTTCTTACTAATCTATGTACTATGGACTTACTAAGGACTCACTTCAAGTATTCTAAATTTATTCTGGACTTGTAGTATAAAAGCTAGTATACACCATGGAAAATGGGGAGTTGCTAGACAGAAGTTACTGGACACTAGCCATCATCCACGTTATCGACCACCATTATCGCTTGTACTCACTAGGAGATAGACAATAACAACATAGTCACTCCAAGTTATACTCTCTGTCACGGCTTTTCTTCTAACGGTATTGGTGTATGCTCATATTGCGCCAATACACGGAATTTGGTGTCCACAACTCGCTTTTATCTTTTAATCCACCAGCATCATTTCACTTTCACCAGCCAGGATCGTTTTCATCAGTTTTCACCTTCTACGTCGCCATCGTTTTACCCAGTTCAGTTCAGGATCGTTACGTCCCCATGTGGACTCAGATTAGGATCGTTATTGCTGCCAGCAGCATCTGTCACGGAATTTCGGTCAACAGCTTCAGTATAGGATCATCAGTCATGGTATTTGGTATCTTGCCATCAGTTTCAGTATAGGATAGTCTCCGTGTAGACTCAGGATTAGTATCAGTTTTGTTCTGCCATCATTAACCTCAGTATAGTTTCAGTTTCAGTCCAGCCCTGTCCCAGCCATCATTTTGCCGTCACTAGTTCCCCCTCATATCATTGCCAGTTCATTTTATCTTCGTTTTACTGCCAGTTTCTCGTTTCTCAACTACAGTCTTCGTCTCTTGCCATCATGGTATTTGTTATCTTGCCAACAGTATTTCTCTTTGATGGCATTTTCTCTAATTCCGTCAACATCACCCATGGCTTTTACTAGTTAAATTGCCGTCACTTCGTTCACGGTTTGCCAGTATTCCCAGTTATACCGGATTCCGTTCCTTCTCATTTATCGAGACCCTTCCTGGCTTACAGCCAACGTTTTCTAGTACTCAATCGTTAAGGGTACTACTTCGCTGACTGAAAAGTCGCAGTGTATACTTGCGTTCTTGAGGAATTCATCACACGGAGGTGCACCGAAACACTCGCACAACAACAAAGCCTTTATTGCCGCTATGCACCATTTGCCGTGAACTCCTCTAGAGTTTTGGTTTTTGCCGTTGCCATGGAAGTTTAGACTCATCATTGGTACGAAGTATCCTGTCTTCCAGTGCGGAACCCAACTTTGCAGCTTTATATGCTTGACCTTGGTCAGACGTGGTCCAATCTACATTGTACCGCAGTCATCTGCTGGTCCATTCTAACATTTGCTGCCATGTTAGATCATATATTTGTCAGTCCGTAAGTCCCTGTGCTTGAGCCTTGGACAAACTCGGGTGGGTCATAGGAGGGGCTTCTACTGGGGGAGCAGCTGGGTCTGTTCTCCTCAAGTCACTGGTCGATGACCATCCCAGCTCGGGTCCAGGGGTCCATCCTGTTGTCATGGTCGGGAGGAAAACCGATGATCTGGTATCAGGAGAATATCCCATATCCTGCATCCCAGTCATCGTTCCAGTCCCAAACACCCCTGATGTATCTGTAGTACTCATCCCAGATCTTCAGGGCATCTTCACATCTCCAGATCCAGGGCCATAGGCTTCGGAGTGGGAGGAAACCGTAGTATCCATCAGGTAGGAACCCTCCTTCTGGGGCAAGGAAGGGTTCGAGCTCGATGGGGGGTTTTGCTCCCTCATACTCATTGGCAGCCAGGGTTCTGAGACGTTGACAGATGGAACAGTTGCAGTAGGGGTATGGATGGGGGGTCTGGTCAAGCTCCCTCAGAATGTGGTTTGAGAGGATGATAGGGTCTGGAAAGGGTTGGTCTCCGGCAAACCAGTCAAGGATTCGATCTCCCTCAGGGGTGTCTCCTGGGAAGATAACCCACTGTCCCTGGCTAATCGGGGGTCCAGGGTGGGTGTAGTACTCTGGGAGCTCCTCATTATTACTGTCAGAGTACTCAGTGAATATGATGTCATCGAGTCCATCTTCGATGGCATCGTTGGTGGAAGTTTCTGAGATGTGGGCAAAACGTGGCTCAGCAAAATCTCTGAGGTCAGCAATGGTGATGAGGGTCCTAGGGAGGACCTTGGATTTGGGTTGGGGGGAGGGCCAAATGAAGTCTGACTTGTGGATGGAGTCATCGTCCCACCATGAAGAGGGTCCTTCAATTCTGTAAGTTCCATCGGGGGTGTATGATGAGAGGGAGGTTGGGGCATCATGTCACTCTGGCTCCGGAGATTCATCTCTTCAATGTCCTCCTGCGTTGTCCACTCCCCGTATGTCTCCTGGTCCCTGGGTAGGGAGGAACGGGTTTTCACCTTCTTCGAAGGTGGTTCTTCGCTGGGTTCATCCGTGGATGATTCGATTGAATACGTTGTTGTAGAACCCACTTGTTCCTCTCTGGTAGAGACGCTCTCCATTGTCATCGAACCCTGGGACGGCTGCTGATAACTCTGTGGAGGTAATTGATGGCTCCCTGGAGTCATTGTCGTCACCCCAGGTCGTGGCATCCCAGGACCCATCTGTATTGGTCCAATACTCGGTGGTAAACCTGGGGTCGACTCAGTCATCTCCATCATCTGGAGGGATGCCAAGTCATCCGAGCTCTTCTTCCCGAAGGGATTCTTCGCCTTCACTGTCTTGCTGATCCTTGCCCTGAAGCTCGAGCATGGGGGCTCGGTCTTCTCTGTCAGGTAAGGGGTGTCGAAGTGTGTCTCGCTCCCCCCTTGGCCATGGTGTGAGGGACCAGAGCCGGATGGTGCTTGTTGTTCGTGAGGTTCCTGTTGATGAGCCATTGAGTCTGTGTACTCTCCCTCTTCCGGGGGTCGGTGCTCTTTGGTGTCGGGTTGGTTGGAGGATATGGAGAACTGCGACTGCAGTTACTAGTGTCAAGATACTGAAGGTACTTCCGAAGATAATGGCGGTGCGGTCTGAGGGGGTGAGCGGCATAAAGTTCATTGTACCACAATGAATGTTTATGATCTCGGGGTACGGTGGGTGCCGTTTTAAATAATGGGCTGAAGGTTTCTTTTCTTTGGAAGTATAACAGTGACTGCCTTGAAGCGGTACAGTTACTGTTGACAATGGTAAGGGTAGTAAGGGCAAGCTTCGGCTAATTGTTAAGCACTAACTCTGATCTGAACCAAGGCTGATCTCTATCCTGTCACTCGCATTTGGTGATTCAGTGTTAGAGAGGCATTGGTAGATTGTGAGAAGTTAGGCGTCACTTTATAGCGAAAGCAAGGAGCTTGTAAGAGTTAAGAGTATATAACCTTAGCCGAAGCTGGGGTCTAAGGCCACAGCATAGGCTAGCTTAAATACATGTTAGACTCATACTAAGAATAGTATCTACAAGGGTGCATGCAACGAGAAGTGCGTCTTTCAATGAATGAGGAGTGAGGACACTAAAAGAAGTGTACTCCTGACGAATGAGAGTAAAGAGCACATATCACCTGCATCTGCGTGGGACTCCGTCTGAATAGGCTGCATCCCATAGACCACCCTCGACTGGTGGTCAACTCTCGTCCAACTACTAAGAAGCATGATGCTATCAAGAGAAGCATGATGGCGCATGTGGGTTGTTGGTCATCTGGGGGTGGCAGCTGTGAACTGGGGTGATGGCAACTGGGTAAACAGGTAAGGAGTATGCCAGTGGAATATCATGGGTCCGTGAGATAAGATAGGCAGGTCCGGGGTTCTGAGAGATAAGGATAAGATAAGATAAGGAAAATAGGGGTAAAGTCGTAATATCAAGCACGTCTCTACTCAGAGCAATCCTGTATGCATTTTATCCGACATTGTTGGCCTCTGTACCACCTGCGATTATTCGCTCCCTCACCCAACCTGTTCAACCTGTTCTCGTGAATGTGGTGTTGCATTTCATGGAGTCGTATTCCATGCCTAATCCAGAATCAGGACAATGGGGTTGGGCTCTCATTGGTTCATTCGCCATCATGTTTCTCAGCCTTGCAGCAGGCACTAGCTAATATTTCTACTACGTCTATCGGAGTGGAGCTTACATCTGAGGCACAATAATTGAAGCGATTTTTCAGAAAAGTTTAACTCTCGCCAGTGACACAGTGGATGACACTACTGGTGGAAATGCTTTAAATCTTATGAGGTAAGTGATCTTCCTCTGATCCTAGTTGATGAGATATTAACTCAATTTTAGTGTCGACCTTGAATGTATAACTTTGGCTATCGACCCTCTTCATCGTGAGTTCCTCCTCTCTTGAGGTGAACTGACCTCCATTGATGTCCATCAAAGAACTTTGGTCATCCTTGATCGTTATCGGCATTGGCCTGTATATATACTCTACACCCAGCTTGGAGCTTCCTTCATAGCAGCTGTTATTGTTACCACTGTTATCATGATTCTTACTCCCATCCTTTCTCAGTGAATCGACAGTCTTCAAGATGCTTGGTCGACACGCACCAATTCCCATGTTAGCCTCATCGCAGAGATTTTTCATCAGATCAAGGCTATCAAACTTAGTGCGTATGAACCCGAGCTCATCAACAAAGTACGGCAACACTGAAGTGAGGAGCTTTCATCCATGAGGCGATTCTGGAAGGATTTTGCAGTCGTGGTGTGTGTGACTAATATGGCCTGCTCCCATCCCTGTTTTAACTAACCCATCCGCAGTACATATGCGATCGTGGGCCATCTCTCTGGATCTGGATCGCTGGATACAAGCCGGCTATTCACTTCCTACACTGTAATAAGCATCATCTCCACACCTCTGTTCTCAGTCAGACAGAACTATGGGACAGTGCTAGCCGCCTACAGTAGCATCAAACGTCTGGAGACATACTTGCTTAGCACGGAGGCTTCTATCGAACGTCTCAACAAGAAATTGGGAGAGAAAGACGAACAGCTGGACCAGAAAGCTGTTGTGACTATGCGTAATGTGCACTTAGGCTGGAAAGACAGGGTAGTTCTGTCGGAAGTCAACATCTCCATCGAGTCTCAAATGTTGAATATGGTCATCAGACGCATAGCAACTGTGTATACACTATTACTCATTTGATTGGTCACTGATGGGACGAATAGGGTAAATTGACTTTACTTGCATCTCTTCTTGGGGAAGCGACTATTCTCGAAGGAAGCATCTCATGTTCAAGGGGAAAGGGCATTGCCTACTGCTCACAGGTACCATGGCTTCAGACAAGTCATTCCATTGAACAAAACATCACTTTCTCTTCCACCATGGATGTCCTGTGGTATCAAGCAGTAATCAAGGCATGTGCTCTAGATGTCGATCTCGCCTTGATTCCCAGTGGTGACTCATCCCTAGCCAAAGGATTGAGTGGCGGTCAGAAGGCACAAATCGTGTGTGCAATCACTGAAATTTCTAATCTTGTATCATGCTCTGACTCATCTCCCTCAGGCTTTGGCTTGGGCAATATATGCTAGAACGGATCTCATCATTCTTGATGATGTGCTTGCAGCCTTGGATGCAACGACTTCGGCAAATATTTTCTCCTCACTCTTTGGACCCAACGGCTTGCTTCATGGAAGAATGGTAGTGATGACGATGAACCACAGTGTGTATCAGTATCTTGAATACAGGATACTCGAACTTATACATCTTCAGTTCCATATCTTCAACATGCCGACTGGATCATCACTCTGGGTGATGGTAAAGTAGTCGAACAAGGCACTTTTGCCTCTCTCTCCATGTCTCAGGGAGGGATAGGGGATCTCATTCATAATGGTATGGTCACAGCCCTTACCAGTAAAATAACAATGGTGGTGGGCGAATCTTCTAATGCGACAGAAATCCTGAATGAATCGGACAAAGACGATGCTGCGAAGGAAGAGATCGAAGCTATTCAGAGCGGAAATGCCACTTTACGAACATATATGCACTATGCTCGGGGTGCCGGCTACAACTGCATGCTCATTTATATCGTTTTCCTCGCTGTCACAGTTGGGATTCAGATCGTCACCCCAGTTTACCTCCAGCTGTGGGCTGAAGCGAACAATGGAAGCACTGACTCGCATCTTGGCCAGTATCTTGGAGGATACGCAGTGATCGAAGTTGCATATGTGGCTGCTTTCACTGCCGTATTTTACTACTTCATCATGATTCTTGTCCCTGAAGCTTCGACCCAGTTGCATGCAGGAGAAGTCGAGGCAGTCATGAATGCGCCAATGTCCTTCTTTGACAGCACAACCACTGGGAGGGTCATCAGTCATTTCAGTCAAGATATCTTTGTCATGGATTTCGAGTTCCCTTTGGCGATGCACGATGCTGCGTACGAATGCACTAGATTGTTTGGTAGTGCCATTCTTATGGTCGCTGCAGTCCCCTATCTTGTTATTCTGCTCATCTTTGTTGCCTTTTCGGGATACTTCATACAAAAGTTTTACTTGGTTAGTACCATCTTTCTTAGAAGATTTCAAGCTTATGGCTTTATCAGGCCACCTCAAAACAGCTGCGTCGGCTGGACCTTACCTCAAAGGCACCTTTATACACCCTGTTTCAAGAAGCTATGGAGCTTAACGGTTTATTGACAATACGTGCTGCCCATCAACAACCATTGTTTACAAGGCAGAACTCCTTGCGACTTGCACAGTCTCAAAGGCCATTCTACTTCACCAATATTGCCTGACTGTGGCTGGCAACGACGATCGGTCTGTTGACCGCGTTCATCAACCTACTCTTTGTTCTTATTGTGGTAGCCAATCGACATTTGACAAGTGTTGGTCTCTTGGCAGTCGCCCTCACACAGGCAGTGTCCTTGCAGGATATTATCAACCTCGTATTAACCAGTTGGACACAGCTTGAGATCGCTGCTGTAGCTGTTGAGCAAAACTTGGAATTCACAAACCTGGAGCCAGAAGAAAAAAACCGGGATTGAGGTGACCCGGCTGACAAGTGGCCTGGCACCGGACAGATAACCTTTCAAGATGTTGTGGCTCGTTACAAGCCAGATGCAGATCCCACTTTGAAGGGAGTTACATTCAATGTTCCCGGAGGGTCGAAACTCGGAATTTGCAGCCAAACAGGTTCAGGGAAAAGGTAACATAACCGTATGCTTTTCTCTCTATTATGCAATTTTCATGCATTTGTCCTAGCACAATTATTCTTGTGCTACTGAGGGCACTCTATGTGGAGGGTGAAATATTGAGTATGTCGTATTCCTATCATGTGAACTGCATTGCTAATCACACTTCATATTTCCAGTTGATGGTGTACAGACTTCGTCAATTTCTTGACGATGTCTTAGATGTGCAATCACCATTGTCGCACAAGACCCGCTGGTCATAGATGGATCAGTACAAGAGAATCTTGATATCACCGGAATGCTCTCCGATTCTGAGATCTGGGCAGTCTGTGAGGCTGTCCAGCTCAAAGATCTTTTCACTAGTTTCCCTGACAAGCTGGACCACCCTTTAACGAGCCATGGCCAGGAACTTTCACAAGGATAGATGCAACTGCTTGCCTTGGCTCATGCTTCTTTGTGACATGTGAAGATCATCGTACTTGATGAAGCAATGGGTCGCCTTGACGCAGAAACCAACAGAGCTGTGTAAAGCGTTATTTGAGACCACTTTCGAGACAGCACTGTTATTACTGTGGCACATCATGTAAGTACAATTACAGACTACAAACAGGTCATGGTCATGGATCGTGGAAGGGTGCTTGAAAAGGGCGATCCACAAAATCTTCTTGCTACTGAGGGAAGTCCTTTTGGTGTTTTATTGGAGGCCATAAAATAAAGGAAGATTGGCCTTTCTGTTTATTTTCCCACTATAAAGACTATTGTCAACTGTACTGCACTAGTTATGATGATGCCAGCAGTGGTTCAATGGATTCTGCGAGAAATATGTTATTATTTATGCACCAGCAATTAAGATATGCCGACAACTTAAAGCATTGTTAACCTAGCATGACATGTTGATTAAAATTTCTGGGACTTGTCTTATTATCTGCCTGTCACTTTCATCAGAGTCCTCGCATACTCCTAGCTGATTAGCATTGAATAGCGCACTGGCCACTCACAATCTCCTTGGGTCGATATTTCGGACTTCGACTTCGCTTGAAGTTTGCTAAAAAATCTCTCACTAAGATGCTCAGGTTTCCCTCCTTCCTGAACCCACACAAGCATTGACTAGGCCCTCAATCTTTCAATACATCACTACAATTGTGTTATGATACATGTCGAATTTATGAGATACTCATGGTACGATTATCTGTAACAGAGCAGGGTACAAATGCTTGCAAGTATCTATAAAGACGACTCGCCATCTTGGCAGCAAAACACAGCCTAATCATCAAAGTCAGATGAGACAAATAGCTGCTACCATAGGCTCAATGTCACAGATAATGACACTGCGTTTGCCCGATCCTTTCTCTATATCGGCTAGCATCACTGGTCCAGCATAGTGGGAGACATACTTGTCGTGAGCGGCCCAAGAGTCTAGAGGTTCTTGTAAGTAGAACCTGGTGAGTAGTAGCTTGGTTGATTTGGTACAGTGACTGTCAATTTGTAAAAATCTTACAGAGACATAATATCCTCTGGAGGTACATCATTGGGTTGTGACCCTGCATATTTGTGACCATGGGCAGCGATAACATTCTCGCCCCCCTCTACATTATAACAATGGATGAGGTGGACCAGAGAGAATTTATGGCCATCCTGGTGAAGTGCATCAAGGGTTGTTTTGGACACAGGGTTTTCCACAGTAGGCTAGTAGAAAGAAAAGGTCGGAAACAGCTTAATAAAAGGAAATCCTGACAAACTGCAGTCTTTATCATGTGCATGCCGATTATGATAGGGTGATGAAGTTCATGTCTGTCCCAATCGCAGCACACAACGTCGGTAAGGATAAGCTGTTCAAGCATGGGCATGCACTGTGCCAAGGGAATAATTGAGAACCCATGCCATTTATTTCAATGTTCAGGATTGAAGATGCCCTAAAAGAATTTAAAGCAATGATAAGGACTTGTGAGTCGGTAGCAAAAGAAAAGACTTCACTTGGTTGTAGTATGCAATTTCTTCTCCATCTTTGGACAAGTGTCCCGGAATCCAATAGATGCACATGGGACTCTCCCATGGAAGGACAATACCGCGACGATACTGTCTGAAGCAGTTGGGGCACCCAGAGAATGGATCATGTGGCAAACAGTTGAAGTGGGATTGGAGGGAACATATAAAGTCGTTCTGTTCTGTATGGGTGACCGAGCATCCATCTGGCTTTTCAAAAGAAGGGCAAAAGCAGATGTAAGGGGTCTTTGGCTGAAGGAAAGGTTTGGGTTTAGTGGCAACAGGGTCTCCTTGCATCGTGGGAATGCTAATGACAACCATAATGAATCCAAAATTTCCGTATTGCCAAAGGGCTCGCCTTTTAAACCTAGATGATGAAATCATGTCATACCGATCTCAACTCGTCTGCAAGAAGGATGTCCCACTCTGATCTCCTTGACAAATCGTCCTAGTAGCATTTGGCTAGCATTCAACCTAGGTAATTATATAGAATGTTCCTTTGATAGTGATCAAGCATGTAATCTGCGCACATTTTATAAAGAACGACGTACATAGGGAAAGTTTTACATAAATCATGCTATATAGTATTCTTCCAATGCTGTCCAATCTAAAAATAACTCCGGATGTGCGGTCCTAACTCAGAGGAGGCTAAACATCTAGAGCAGGAACAACAGGAACAAGTAAGGTGAAGTAACTTTAAGCAAGCAATAGTAGTTGCACCATATCATGCCTTCCTTGCAGAACACCAAGATGGCCATTTCGGGCTAGTGTTGCTGATGATTCGGCTTCTATCACTGGAGTCAATCTCGAGCCATTAATGATGGAAGGACAGGACTAGCAACTACACTATTGCTGGTGCTACTAGTGCATCCAGCGAGTAAATGCAGACATCGGATTAAATGCCATTTTGAACAGCAGCGCATTCAGAGCAAACAGCCCGAAAATGACTTTGACATTAAGCCAATACAAGCCGAATCATCAGCAACACTATCTCGGACTGAAATTCGTGTTTATGCATTAAATTTAGGCTAAAACCCAAACTTTAATAGGCGGCGTTACTGTACATTATGCATTTGCAACATTCATTCTACTCAATTACTACTATCACTACTTACGTCTCATTTACCTGCTCAGATGACCCTGTGATCAGTTTTCTCATTACCGCCATCCCCGACAACCTATGTTGCAAGCAAGGAAGGGTGATCAATTTGCTTGCAATATTAAGGGTCCAGTGTAAACAATGTGGATGAAGCTAGGTCCCACTCAGCTTTCAAGACCCACTTCAAAGTGGTCCCGAAGTATCTGCAGTCTACATTGGAAGGAGCTTCCTCCTTCTAGCCGCAAAACCTGCCCCTTTGTGTCCTTCAGTCAGCAATGCAGCCTAGTAATACCGGTGGGATTACATTACTGTATCCAATGCAGAGTATCTGCTGATCAAATGAAGAGAATTGAGGAACCCACTGGGATCATGCTGCAAAGAGATCAAGAAACAGCCGAGATCTTCTACAAAATGATGCCTCAAAGGCCTACAGCGGGAAATACATAATAGCACCTTTATGGATTCCATTCAGGTAAGCGTTGACCAGGTTGGAGAGAGTATCCACCCAGGGCTATTGCGTTTAGCTTTTTTCAGGAAGGAATAGCTCGATCTACTATGTGTTATTCTTCCTTCTGGTGGCTGTTAATATGCCTTCCATCTAGATCTGTGTATGCCATTCTTCAGACTGAACTCAACAAACCTCATTCCCATGAACTCGCACCAAGAAACAGTGCCACTACACATATAACGCCATGTTCGATCAAATACAGTGTACCATCAGTATACTGCATCTCCCCATCTTCAAATATGGCTCCCCTCCCCATTCTAGTTCCAGAGAGCTGGGTATCTGCTGACACTGCCAATTGTTCCATAGATATGGACCCAAAACTTGTGTGCATACATCAGCATTTCGAGCGGATTGCCCATCTTCATCCAGAGTATATTGCCCTCGACTGGAAGGGTGAGAAGTCGGTGACATATGGAGAATTAGCCTGTCTAGTCGATGCCCTGGCAGCTCACCTTGCTGTTGATCTTTGAATCCCTCCGAAACATCTCGTACTGGAGTTTTTTGACCAAAGTATTGCTAGCATTGTTGCGCAGTTGTCTGTCATCAGTATCACTCGTTCTCTCATAGGTATGCAATGCACAGCACTCATCTCTGTCTTCGATAGCTTAAAGCCGGCTGTGCATTTGTTCCCCTGGTGAGTTGCACATCATTCAAAGACCGTCTCGTTGACATTGTATAGGATCCCGAGCACCTGGTGGCATGAACCAGAAGTATCAATGCAAGTGTTGTATCGAAGATTTGCCTCACTCAAGCATCCCTGGCTCAAGAGGCATCTCATAGATTATCAAATGACGATGTGATAGTACTTTCAGTGGACATCTTCCTTGATTCTCTGCCTCCATCCTTTACTTGGAAACTGCTGCATATCGAGGTAGCAGGGAGCGATATGTGCTACGTCTTATTCATGAGTGGATCTACTGGTACCCCAAAAGGGGTGAAAATTACGCACTCTGCAGCCATATCATCGGTCATTGATGGACCTGAGTCAAATCAAGCTCTGCGATGGGAGGGTTTGGCATTACATACCTTGGGGTTCTCGAACTATGTCTTTGACTTTGTGAGCGTCACCCCCCTGATCCCATTAGTTGTCGGTCATGTTCTTTATAGTCAATTTGGGATGTTTATATCACCCTTACATGTGGGGGATGTTTGTGTCTAGCACCAAAGCTTGATATGTTAAACGACCTCGGTGGGGTTTGCAGTTCTATGTCTGTCACCTTCTTGGAAACCATGCCCACTGTACTCTCTCTTCTTGACCCTAAAGACGCGCCAACACTTTGTGTTGTTAACAGTGGTGGTGAACCACTTACAAAGGCTATAGTTGACAAATTCAAAAATGGACTTCCGAATGAATGGAAAATATGCTTGGGAAACCTATATGGGCCTACGGAGTGTACAACTGTCAGTCTTTTTTTATTCCTTGAGATTAAGATAAATATACTAACAAAGACCCTGCTCTAAAGGGTTCAATCTTCTGTGTTGTTGAAGCAGAGGCCGATCCTAGCATCATCGGCCATCCATTTGGTGGTAACCGCGTCTACCTCCTCGACGATGAGATGAAGCCCTGTTTCATTGGTGATGTGGGCACTATCTGGCTTGGTGGTACTCAGGTGTCTCTCGGATACCTGGGACAGGACGATCTGATGGCAAAGTCATTTCGAACCGATCCTTTCATCACCTCCCCAGATTCTGCTTCGGGGAACAGGATGTACAACACTGGTGATTTGGGCATGTGGACAGAGGAGGGATCAATTCGCTGCTTGGGCTGGGCAGACTCACAGGTTAAAATCCATGGACAACGCATAGAGACTGGAGAAATTGAGAGTGTTCTCATGAGTTACCCCCTTGTTAAAGGTGCAAGCATCATCAAGCGAGCCCACAGCAGGGTGGAAGAACTTGTTGCGTTTTTGGATACATCGGTTATTGTTTTGTTGCAATCTTTCTTTCTTTTGTCTAATTCATTTCGTTTACAGGGATCAATACCATTCACAGATATCACTGCCCGACTTAAGTTACAATTACCTATATACATGATCCCCACTTCCTTCATCCTTCTTGATGGTCTTCCTATCACAACCAGTGGGAAGGTCGATCATCATACACTGGAGAGGCTATCATTAGCAGAGGATCAAGTACTTTCTCCTTCTGAAAACAAGAACCTCGTAGAAATGTCTATTGCATGAGCATGGGCAAGTGCTCTTTCTGATCTCAATCCTGACAATGTTCCCCTCGATGTGGATTTTTTCAAATATGGTGGTGACTCCATCACCACTATTCACGTATCTGGTTGGTTTTTGAAATTATTTGGCGCAATTTTCCATTCTGAATATTACCTATTATAGTGTCTTGTTGTCATAGCGACTTGCAGTTGCTTGTCCACGACTTCCCAAAGGCTGGGACCGTTTGTTCACAAGCTGCCCTCATTGTCACATGGGATAGATGTCACGAAGAACCAAAAGCATATGAGCCTTTTGAGATGCTAGACAAGGGATATCAGAACACAGTGATTCAAGAGCTTTCGTCTCTTGGAATATCCAAAGATGGTATTGAGGATGCTTTTCCATCACTTGCATCTGTATCTGGTCTGGTCTCTCTCGCAGCTTCCAATCCTCAAGTACATACCCAATCCTCATAAATATTCCTAACTATTTTTGATGCTGTGATGAATGCAGAGCTACCTCGCTTTGTATAAATTTCAGCGCCAGGAACCATTTAATCCCAGAAAATTAAAAGAATCATGGAAAATGGTCTTCCAGCGACATGCCATCTTTCGTACTTTGTTTATAATTCCTCCTAATCCCTATGGGGAGGTTACCCAGGTAGTTCTCAAACTTGAACATTGCAACCTAGGATGGACATGCCTAGGGCTTCGCACCGTTACCGTATAGTACGGTTATACGGGTGCCGTCATACAGGTACCATACCTGTTCCGTCTGGCGAAATAATTTTCCCAGAGACGGACGGTATATGGACATCCTGTATCCCGTTAGCAACTGTATAAACATGGCTGTCATATGGTAATTGATGGCTGTGTATGTATCTAAAAATAACCATCATCAGATCACGCTGCACGCGTGTTTGCCATACACTTAACATTGTACCATGATGTGCTAGCACCACAAGCTCTTCAATGCTACCACCCGATCTTTTTTCACTCGCTCTACTCAAGCTCTAATCCTTACCAGCATAGAATACTTTCTATTTCCTGCTTCTGCTGCTTCTATTCTACTCCCGTTTCATCCTTTGACTACAAGCACATGTTGCACAATAATTTGGCCTCTGCTGGTCTGTGCACCTTTCAAATATGGCTGAATTTAAGCCAGAGAAGTTCACAAAAGACTATCTACTATATAATGGTCCTGTCCTTTTTTTGCAGACTTACGACCACATTCTGGGCATCATGACAGATCAGTGTGCCCTCGATGCCAACGGAAACTTGAAATCCTCCTCGAAAGTCAATGTTTATCATGATGCAGATGACGACGTGCCCATGGAAGGACCTGAAGTTGCTCTGAAGCCCAAAATATCAGGTATGTATTATTCAACAGCCGTCTATATACCCGTACCGTACTGTCAACCTAGTTCTAAGAGCCTTGACGGTATGGTATACGGACCAGCCATCGCCCGTCACTGTACCATGGCTATACGGCCGTATACCATATACGGGACGGTGCGAAGCCCTAGACATGCCATTACTTCAACGACACAGCATCTCGTGATGCCGCCATAGACACTTACACAAGGAACTGGTGCAACGTGGGGTTCTCTCTTGGGAAGGTCCCTACACGAATTTCTCTTTTTGAATCGCCGGAGTCTTCGGTCGTACTGTGGCAGGTCCACCACTCTCAGTATGATGGATGGAGTTATCCTATCATCCTCGATGACCTATGGAAGGCATATGGTGCTGTTTCTGGCTCGTTTTCCAGCTGGGATCCTCCGGCCACCTCTTACGCTGAATTCGTATGGTGGGTAAAAGGCCAAGATAGCCAGTCAGCACTTGAATTTTGGAGGTCAGAGCTGAAAGACGCGTCTTTACTTCCGTGGCCCAGAATTGCGCTTCACGATGGAGCGCGGAGCGTAATTACAACAGACGGGCTGCTCACGGACAAGTGGAAGCGTGGTTCAGATTTGCTGCGTTTTTGTCATGAAAGTCACGTTACCGTGTCGTCATTTGTCCGGGCTGCTCTCGCGTTTGTTCTTGGTCTTCATGGCCACACCGACGATGTCCTCTTTGGTGTGGTCACTTCCGGGCGTGCTGGGGGATTCGATGGTGTCGAGGACGTTGTCGGCGCCTGTATTGCTACTCTTCCTTCCCGCATCCGCGTATCCCCAAATCAAAGTGCTGTCAGTTTTGTCAGATCTGTTCATCTCCATTCCATGCGCACGACTCCCTACGAAAATGTCGGTCTAGCAGATGTAATAAAAAGCAGCTGTCTCGGTGACTTGCGCGACATTTTCCAAGTGCTCCTCACAGTACAAAACCTTCCCCACCTCTGTGAAGACCCGCAGTCCTTCCTTGGTCGCAGTCTGACTGGACATAGGATGGAGTTGAATTATGCTCTGGCTGTCACGGCTTATGTTGACCGTTCCTCGAATCTTGACGTAGAGTTTGAGTACGACTCGAGGGTCTTGACGTCGGGGGATGTCAGCTGGTTCCAACACCATCTCTCTTCCACGTTTGACGCAATATTAGACGCTCCGGATGAGATTCTTCACTCCAGAGACATCGTTACACAACACGAGCGCTCGTTTGTGCTGGCATCTGGTGTAGGCCTTGCACCGGACCCTACATTAGCCGAGCAGCGCTTTGTACACCTTATGATCGATCAAGCCGCCTCTTCCTTTCCGTCAACCATCGCGATTGAACACACCAGCGGTACTGTTATAACCTACGCTGACCTCACCCGGCTGGCCAATCAAGCGGCGCATGGGTTGCGCTTACGCGGGGTGCACGCGGAGACTATGGTGCCGGTGCTTTTCGACAAGTACCGCGATCAAACGGAAATCGTTATTTGTATTTTGGCGATATTGAAAAGCGGAGGAGCCTTTGTTCCCCTTGATGCATCTTGGCCACCGGATAGGCTCGTTGCTTGTATTCGGCAGACTCAGTCAGAATTTTTACTATATGACAGTTCTATAATGTCTGACACGATCGACTCGATTCCGGTATACGCTTTGACGATCGGCCAACTCGTTATGGGGCATGAAGACAAAACTAAAGCTCCTGGGACACCCGAACTTCGATCAGACTCGCTTATCTATGTCGTTTTCACATCCGGTACCACAGGCGAGCCTAAAGGGATCATGATCACCCATGCTAATGTCATTGGGTACGTGGCGAAGTAAGTACAAGTAACTTCGGTCTACGGCAATCACAATATTAATGAATATTTAGTGGATCAACCATCTATCCCATCCATGATATCGACCGGGTTCTTCATTTTTCGCCCTTTTCTTTTGATCAAGGCATTGGTGACATGTAAGTCCTTTACCGCATAATGTATACCGATGATCATCTTGCTGAATTAAGCTATTTACAGTTGGATGGCTCTGACAAAAGGCTACACATTGCTATTAGCCGACATGGATGACATGGTCAATGACATGTCTGCCGTCTTGAACAGTACAAAAGCTCAATATACAGTGCTGACCCCGCCGGTAGCAACCCTCATAGGTGATCAGGAGCATCCTTGCCTTAAAGCCCTCCTCGTTGGCGGAGACCGGCTGCCTGGACAGCTTGTGGAGCGATGGCGTGGAAAGGTGGCTTTCTTGGATGAGTAAGTCAAGGCCCGCCCTTTTCCACTGTTTACTATTTAACTTACGGATAACAAAGCTATGGTCCATCTGAAGTGACAACGTCATGCATTGCTATGCCTTTTGCAGCTGGGACGAGCACACAAGCAGGTGTCATTGGCCGCCCTTTTGGGTCCACGCGCGCCTATATCGTTGATCCCGAAATGAACATAGTTCCAATTGGTGCATGTGGCGAACTGTGTTTGTCAGGGAATCAGGTTGCACGAGGGTATTTGAACCTGCCAGAACGTACAAATGCCGCATTTATGGATGACCCATTCAATCCCGGACTTCGCCTGTATAAATCTGGGGATATCACGCGGTGGACATCCGACGGGTATATCGAATACATCGGTCGGCACGATGACGGAGGCTTCATTAAACTGAGGGGACTTCGTATAGATGTCTCTGAAATTGAAGAGACGCTTATGTCCGTGAGGGGTACCGTAGCTGTTGTGGAGCTCCTCCGATTCCATGACCAGGATCATCTGGTTGCATTCATCGGCACGAAGCTAGCACCAGCTGGAACGGCTCAGATTACTATTTCCTCCGACCTGGCGTCTCTACGAGATTGGGTCAGCAAATTGGTGGTTGCATGCAAGACAACAATGCCAGCATACGCTTTGCCAACCTTGTGGGTTGCTGTAGATGCTATCCCTCAAGCCAATACAAATAAATGCGACAGAAAACAACTTCGTCGGTTTTTCCAGGAGCACGCCAATCGAGTCCAAGAGATAACAAGAACTTTATTGCAATGCGAATTGCCCCGACCTCCTCGAGATGGCTTAGAACAGTCGATCGCTTTGAAGTGGAGTAGCGTGTTGGGCAGGAACGCTTCGTCATTCTCGGCACACGATGACTTTTTCAGCTTGGGCGGCAACTCCATCAGCGCTGTTCGTTTCCTCTGGATGCTGCGAAGAGAAGGCTGGGACATCACGATCAGAGAATTCTATGCGCGCGCGACGACAGCAGGGCTTGCCTCTTTGATCGAAGAAAAGAAAACACAGAGCATCGACTTTCCATCTAGGGTTGAGCCCGCCTCGTCAACGACCAGTCAAGGTCTTGTATTTACTGTGCAGGAGACAGACAATCGTACGGCTGCGACATCACTCTGGCTATTGCACGATGGAGGAGGGCTTGGCCGGGAATGTAAGCCCTGCTTCGTTTGTATCCACGGCACGATCTGATCCTGACATGCGCATCTTAGATATCAATCTGCAACCGCTCGAACGTGGCGTCTTTGCCATTGGCAACCCGTCTTCTACGCGCGCGGAATTGATCTCGAGATATGCCTCCTGGGATGCTTATGTGGACGCCTATGATCCTCTGATCCCAAAAGAGAATGTCTATATCGGTGGTTGGTCTTTCGGAGGCATGCTTGCGCTGGCGATTGCCGAGAGAAGACTTCAACGAGGAGACCCTGTGAAGGGAATTGTCTTAATAGACTCTTACAATACTCAAGGATGGCGCAACGTATCCAACTGTTCACCCGATGACACTCCGGACATTCTCGATTTCTCGACCATTCACCAGGCGCATGTTGATGATCGTCTCATAGAAAGTTTTGTAGAACCTCGTTGCGATGTCCCTGTATTGCTAGTTCGAGCTGGTAACGGACTTGGGACTGACGGTGACGGTTTTGTCCTACCAGAGGGTCAGAAGTGTGGGGAGCGCAATTTTTGGTCGGAAGATGCATTCAAAAGCTTGGATATCGTGACGATCTTTGGAGCTGGACACTACGATCTGATGCAGTCGGATGAGACAGTTGGTTTGGTGTCGGAGACAATTCGGCGCTGGTTTGGAAATGGTCCTGTCTAGACGCCAGGTATCTCCACGTACGGGCTCATTACTTGTCTAATCTAGTAACAATCCTGTTCGCACAAATTGGTGTATCGTCCGTGCGGCTTGACCGTTTTTGTTTGCGTTCACCTATGGAACTCGAATACTTGTGTTGTGGTTCAAGGCGGTTCCTTTTCAGGAAGGAGAAACGTGTTGACTTTTCTTGCCCTTTGTATGCTGAGAAAATGGGATATAGAAAACATAATGAGAAACCAGTTCTACTTAGTGCTCCTTTCGCATACAAAACAGCTTCTTTTCTGCGAATGAAATGCGGTTTCCTGTGTTCTGGCTGCGGGAAATGCCTTTTTTATTCCTCCAGTTCTTTTCCTACCTCAAATGAGTATGGAAGATATCTCATCTTTCATACTGGTTTTGTGAACTCATTTTTACCAGTAGAAGTGCAAATGAAATGTCATAACATTTTGAGGACTCGTTTTTCCGTGAGGAAAATGTACCGGCTCCAGCAGTGATTGCAGCCCGCGGACTGAAGTAACTCTCTAGTTGCTCGATGCAGTGTGAGAACACTGTAGCCGAGTATTGAACAGGCCTATCAAAATGCAATGCAACCAGCTGTCGAGGTGCGAGCATGGGTGAGAACGAAAAGAACAAATCGTTTAGACCTAGTATGTCGGCATGGTGGTAAACGGTAAAGAAAGGAAAAGTACGGGTGCGGTACGTAACTCGTACAGCCACCAGTAACTCCAATACCAGCTTAGCATACCGATGAAATTAGGTATAACCAACCTCCGCCATCGGTTGCCGCTTTCAATTTTATTGACGTTGACTTGTCCTTCTTGCACCATCGGGGCGATATGGTTTATGCACTGACGAGCGCCAAATATGCCTCCACCAAACTTGAATATAACTGGTCCAAACATCACCTCGTCCCAAGTTATGGTAGATTTCGTCCCTGTTTATTTTGCTAGAAATAATATTAATGCCATAAAAGCTAAAACGAAAGCAATGCATCACACAAAACCAAATGATAAATGATACAAATATGACTCTACTTCTCCGCCGCCTCAACCTGCCTCAACAGCACCCTCAGCTCCTCAACACACTCCTCCAAGCGCCTCTTCACTTCCCTCGCATTATCCAGCAAAGGTTTGATGTTCTCCGGGGTCATCGCCACCGCAGGAGTCGGTGGCATTGACCGTACGGAGCCAGATTTTAGCACCCCTTTGCCTTTGATGTCTAATGGCGGAAGGGACGGCGGTCTGGTAGATCCATTCACATGTCCATCAGGCGAGTGAGATGCCGACCCATTCGGAAGTGGTGGAACCACAGTCGACGGTCCAGGCTGCGAAAACCGATTCGACCTTGCTTCCTCCTCAACATTCGATAGCCGATTCTTCACACGAATTGTATCCACGTGCTCTTCCCGGTCGTCAAAATGATCCCATCCATAATCTGAGCTCGTCGTAGGTACTAACGACAAGTTAAGATTACTTTTACTCGCATCTGCACCGCCAGTTACACTGCTCGATTTGGAACTCGATGTTTTGCTCGATCCAATCCGGAAGATAGACGCGAGTGAGGGTCTTCGTGGACTCGAGGCAGGTTTTCCATGCCCATTCGATAGAGAAGAATAGGACTCGTATGGTTCAGTCGACGTCTTGGCGCGTCGACGACCGTACGTTGGAAGTCTGGCATGAGGGTACAAATGACCATCATTACCATTCGAGTGCAGTGATGCCTTTGATTGATTTGCGCTCTGACGCTGATCATGATTATGGTCGTGATGATGATGTTCGTGATTGTGCTGATGCCATTTCAAAGCTTTCAGCGCGTCTCTCAGCCCTCCCAGACCAAGCCTACTCCCCCGTCTTTTCTTCCTGGCATCCTCCTCGGGGGCTTGGCTCGATGAGTCTTCTGACTGCGACGGGAGTGTTATAGTGCTGTCTCCCCAGCGCCATTCGCGGTTGATTGTAGTTGGATGCTGAGATTGTTGGGATTCAGGGGAAGCCAGCATCTCGTGCAGTAGGTGCAGTTGACGTTGGCTGAGATCGTGTCGACCAGTAGAAGCACGCCAGGCAGGAGAGGGCGAAGCTATAGGCAGGGCAAGGGGTGGTGGTGGTGGTGGTGGTGGCTCGTCTTCTTTTCCAACAGTCGTTATAGTGGCTATGGCTGGGGCGCTAACACTCGTTGACGGCGTACCAGTCCCTAAATCAACAAGAAGTTCAGCACATTCCCAAGCAATTCGATATTTCGAATTGATGACATAGTATTCCGCTGCGAGATGCTTCGCGTTGGATTTTGATCGCCCACGGGGACGGAAAACCGGAATAGAGGGGGAAGACGAGGGAGGTGGAGGTGGCTGAGCGAGAAGAGGGTCAAGTTTAGTAACAAGAGCCTGGTAGGTGTTTTGCAGGGCTTTGAGTTCTGATAATGTTTCAGTATATTGAAATACGTGCCAACAAAGTCATACCGTCAACGCTCTGTGCAAACTCCCTGACCAGGCCTAGATCTCTGCGTAAGCCGACTTGTGCTTGAGCTACGCGAGGGGGAATCTTAAGGTCACCCAGAGAATTACGCCGTGTTACAGGCGCGGTGCTCGGAGCGGCGGTCCGTCCTAGTGAAGCCACCTTTGATGGAGACGGTAGTAGCTCCACCGAGGGAATGTCAGGACCTGAAGTACCAGGAGTACCAATAGATATACCCCGTTTATGCTTGCCCCCGAGACTTAAGCGTCGAACATTGCCCATCCAACTGCGGCTACCTTCTTTTGGGGTTGGTGTTGAATTCAGCTCAGCCTCCAGGTCTGCAGGTAATCCTGACATTGATTTTCGTTTATTTACTGAAGGAGAATGAGCGAACCATGAAGTATCTGTGGACTCGTTAGACAGAATAAAGCAGAATAATTGTAGAACGCACCGTGTCGTTCGTCACGGACGACCTCGGCGGGCGTCGCGCTCGCCCGTTTTCGTCTGAGGCCCCACTTTGACTTGACGCTCCCAATTCTCGTCAAGACGGTTGGCGAAGTCGGAGGATCATCATCCTTCTCTCGTGCCGCCGGTAATTCCTCCTCGCTGAACTCTTGCATCTCAAACATTCCCATCGTCTCCGGAGGCCGGCTCTTCTTCTTCAATCTTCGTCGGGCGATAGGCGGTGAGGGTGGTAGATGTGATAGGGTCGAGGCAGACGTCCGAGAGAACGTTGGCCGGAGGTGAGTAGATGAGTTGTTGGCATGGTATGACGGAGCGGAAAAGAGCGAGGCGGTGGGTGAGTGCAGCAGCGACGAAGGAAGTGGCGGCACCGGTGGCGGCGGTGTCGACGGCTTTCGCGACGAACGAACAGTGAGGGTACGGTCCTCGCTGTCCCATAAACCAAAGTCCTCGTCGGAGGAAAGTTCGTGTGACGTCCGTCGGGGTGGCGCTGTGCTGGTGCTGGGCACCGGCTCATCGAGCTCGAACTCGTCGTCCCAAATTTCAGGCTCCATCGACGGCGACGGCGGCGACGACGAGGAAGCTGTTGCAGTTTTACCGCGTTGTTGGGGGTTGTTGATCGTCGGCCCTGAAACGGACAGTTTGAGTGACGCTACTTCCTTGCCTTCGATCCGCACGGCGTCCACAAATCGGACCATGCATGGTTTGGTGAAGGGCGACTGCATCAGAAAAAGGAACATTGAGGGGACAGACACAAGCAGGTATCCCAATTATTATCCTTCCCTTTTATCTTGTCTTGACTCTGAGACTTGCCTCTTTGTTCAGAATACAGCTTGGACCAAGTCAAAGTCAAAGCTAATGCACCAATTAATGCATCAATGGGCGCTGCCCACCGAATCCAGCCAGGCATCGCCAGCAACGGGCTGCTCTACCGACGACGTGATGACCTTGCTCATGGCAATGGAAGCGCCGTCGTGAGTTAGTACCGTTGTCTGCGATCAGCGGACGGTACGTTGAGCTTGCTCATTGGTGTACAAGCCTACTGTACACCATCCGAATATTGTTCTTGCGTTTGTTTGCTACTTCACCGCCACCGAACAGTAATTAGACATGTATGATGATCGTCGACGTCGGTCAATGCCACGCTCACCAGTATCGACGTCGATATCTCCTTAAATCCAGCGATCGATCTATGTTTTGTTCAGTGCAAGATACTGAACTGTCCATTGGCACCAACTATATTATGTTTGATGTCATATCCACAGTGATCTGCTCGTCTAGCGCTATACATTCCCAGTTGCACGCATGGCGAATGACAAGCAAGCTCTTCGTTCAATTCCCCATAATTCGGCTCTCTTCATAAAGTACTGTTGATTCTGCTAGACAACAGTAACGAACGAATACGCTGACCTTTGAGCGGAGACAATGCGATTCCTAGCTCAAGCAGGTGCCATACGTAGCATCTGAAGGACAATCCGATACTACTTAACTGGTGTCCTGCTATGAGACCAGCATGAAAAATATTTACAGTCTACGTGGCACTTCTGCTCTGTTGATAAAGTACGGGCGACGCGAACAGACGAGTGTAGCATGAGGTGCATGCCTTCGTACTATCTGAAAAAACTCAGGTATTCCTTCGGCACCCACATCTCTAAAGCACTCTATTTGAAGTAGTCGGTCTGCATTCATTTATCTCTTCTCGAAGTCGATGCTTAATCCTTAATCACCAAGGACTGAATTGTTAACATGTCAATCTCCTAACTCGCAAGCACTAGAGCGTCTCGGAGGCGACTGTACTCAAGTCGCATGCGTCGATGGTGTTGTCTTCTGATACATGTTCTTTTTTTCCCTCGAGGGACTCCACAGTCAGCTGGATGTCTGGAATAAAGGAGCCGTCGGACGGCACCAATTGCTCTCCAGCGATACCTGATAACAGATCTTCAATCTCTTGGATACAATTACCAACCCTATTTCACTTGGAATATTGATGTCAGCGATACAAATCAATCCCACAATTCTCACCTCCAAGCAACGCCACGTCCATTCCCTCCTGTCATATGGTCGGCTCCGTCGCCGTGTCTTTGTCTTAGCGACTATCGCTCCTTCATTCCGAAGGGATCGGTTTGGGGTGGGCCCTTCGGTTCACGGGATGAACGGCTAATCACATGAAGACCAAGAGTATTCTCTTCAGCTCCATGTCCTGCAAACGTCGTACGGGAAGTGGGATGAGGCGACGAGAAAGCACCGGTGTCACGGCAGCGAATATTTGCACAATTTCGCGAGAGGGATAGTCAAGAGTAACGTATCTATCAGAGGCAAAGCCTTCCTGTTCCCAGGACACTTATTATGTTCTGTGTTTCTCCACCGCGCTAGGTATCGTCCATGCGTCTTTAGCAGGTCCTGATTTTGATAAAGCCCGGAGACACGCGCTGATGCCGCGATGGGAATTTGCCATTCTTAATCTAGTCTCTTACAAGGCTCGTGTCTGATGTCATAATGTTTGTAGACCAGACTCGAATTGAAGGATTCGTAGTATAAAGATCAAACCGCTCATTGATACGTTTACATGGATTGCAAAGGATCTCTCTTCCTGCATGCAAACAATAGACATTTTCGACCATAATCGATAACCACCGAGCAGGCTATGGATATCTTATGCCATTTGTCTTTTCTGTTCGGCGAGTTTCCTGATGCGAGGGGTCCATTACTCCTTGATCTACGTTTGTATAATTCGACTTTACACTGTTAACACTGATGCATATGTGTTAATCCGGCTTCGATCAATTCCGTGAAAAAAGAAGAGTGATGATTGACTTGTATTACCTGATACTTGAGTGCACCAAACGCATAAGGCTTCCAAAGTTACGGATCGCATGAAGCAAAAAAATAATACACGATTAACAGATCCACTTTGTGCGATGATTAATTAGGAAGAAAAGTAGTATATTTATGAGCAACACGGAAGAAACAGCCACAAAAATCAGCTAAGAACAGTGATCAAAAAGGAGGTTACAAATTACAAGTGATCCGGAAAGAAGAACTGGAGTCCCGTTTCTGTATGTAGAACATACATTAGATAGTTGGAGGAGAAAGTGACGGTGGGTCCTGCCCAGGGCAATCTTGTCAGACATCCCGTTAATGATATCGATGCTGAAACTCTGTGCAGTCCCTATGGTACACCGTACTCGAGTGCTGCACAGCCAAGGTCATGATTGGCAAGTGTGTTACCCATTAGATGACGGACGCAAAGGCAAGAAGCCTTTGTATTAACGTCTGGGGTATGACGGAACTACGCAACCCCCAAGCCCAAGCTAACAAGAACGTAAACGTTCGCCGCTACAACGAGGAGCCAAATCGCCGCCCCTAGCAACGTAATAGGTATACTATTGCTGAAATTCACGGAACCTCCATCATCATTTTTCGCCGACATCACACGTTTGTTACTCGTCAACCATAACAGTGGAAAGACGATGAAGGGCAAGACGATAGACAAAACAACCTGGGATGCGACGAGGAGGGTGTCAATTCCACTTCTGCCTATTGCTATTGCGACCGTAAGCGCTGGTACGAGGGATAGCAGGCGGGTGATAAGCCGTCTGAACACGGGTGACAAGCGAATGTTCAGGAAACCTTCTGACACGGCTTGGCCTGCGACGGTGGCGATAAGGGATGAAGACTGTCCGGAGAAGAGGAGTGCTGGGGCAAAGAGGGTGGCAGCAGAGGGAGAGACGGCTGTGCGGATAAGATCATACGCGTCAAAAAGGGAGGCGGTTTGTGCAGTGGCGGGAAGGGTAGCACCTGCAAGAATGAGGATGAGGGAATTAATTACGATCGCAAAACAGAAGAGCGAGAGGACGAGATCGGCAATGCCATGATACAGGTGTAACTTGATGAAAGAGAGCGAGTTGTTAGTTAATGTCTGCGGTGGGGAAATGGGCGTCAGGCGGAAGACGGATCGAATCCGTTGCCGGAGCTTCTCCGGTTCCTCTTCCTCTTCCTCTACAGATATGGCTGCGACACGGTCCTGCGTTGCTAGCGCCGAGCCAAGAAAGAGACCATGCGGCATGACAGTCGCTCCGAGGATACCTACCGACGTATACAGAGCACCATTTTTGAATACGTATTTTGAAGGCAGGTATCCAAGAAAAGCATTGGGCCAGTGGACGTCCACGCGAGCAATGATGATACACATGCAAATCAGGACGGCGATTACCAGTGCAGCGATAATGAATTCGAAGACGCGCACGGGTCGTCCGCGAAGGGGATCACCGAGAGCGAGGATTAAAAGGACGTCGAATGCAGTGATCAGCACGCCGTGCCATATTTCGAGAGCGGGAAAGAGCAGACATAAGGCAATCGCTGACCCGAGCAGCTCTGCCAGGTCTGTCGCTACGATAGCCGCCTCGGAGAGAATGTAGAGGGGATACAGGAATAGGTACCGGGTCACAGGGCGAGGGTAAAGCAGCACCCGACAGTGCGACGCCAAGTCAAGGCCAGTTACGCATCCCAGTCGATGAGCTGACACCTAACCAATGAAATCAACATGCATATACGCAGCCAGTAAATAGCCAACGCACCTGGAAGAATACAGCGAATAGTCCAGCTAGGAGGACGACAAAAAGCAGTCGGTATCCGTACGACGACCCTGCTTGGAGATCGACACCCCAGTTGCCTCTGGAAGGATTGTCAGAGCTGGGAAATTTTAGGGAAAAGATACACACGGATCAAAATAGGCTACTGCACATACAAGCCCGACGCCTGTGTGCTTTTTGGCGTGAGTCCACAACGTCGTCGAGAATGATTTGATGGTGGTGGCCATTGAGGTGAAGGTGGGGAGTCGCTGCGGTCATATACAAGAGCAGAATGAGGTGAACCAGAGAGCAGGTACTCAGAAATGTGGAATACATGAGGCCTCCGAGCAACGACTCAGCGGTAGGCCTTTAAATGAATGAATCGATACTAGTAAGAGCTACTCCGAAAGCAGTAGTACAGAATAAGAAGTCACTATTTTGTTGCCAGGTTATACTGAGAAACGCAGCTGGACACAAGCGGTAGTCCTGGGTAGGTAAATTTTGGTAATCTCAACTGTCGTCAAATATATGTTAGGCCCATACCATGACAGAGCCTGTACGGCATAACCGAGTCCTACGTATGCCAGTCTATCTGGAGTATTATAGCACTGACGGCGGACCCTGAGAGCGATGACGCAGCATGAAACACATCGGTACTTCGGAGACGGCGCCAGGTTATCATCTTGTGGGCGTGGTGCGTATCGTCGAGCCATTCGTTTGGCTCTGGTGACGATGCGATCTCGTCGAAAATAAATCAAACAAAGGTCGACAGCGAAACAAATCTTGGTTTCTCGATGACGGCGGGGACGATAAGAAATCAAAGATCATGAGAATTATATGCTGCAAGCATACACAGGGTGAATGATAGAACGCAAAGGAATATACACAGTCAGTTTAAAAGTTATGAGGAAATTATCACGTTACCAGCAATAGACACCAGAGTGTAGTCTCAAGTTCATAAAATCATAGTCTGCCAATCTAGAAGGTATGATTTAGTGCCTGAATCAGAAGGGACATAACCCGACATCGTACACCACACTGAAGATATTCTTCAAGGAGGGCCATCGATCAGAGGAAGTTCTTGTTGTGTCGCTTTCCTGCACTTCCAAAATTCGTCATCCGGTCCTTCAGTTTACCATTGTCGCTGTTACAGTGATATCCTGGGTCCTTGTGTCTCTGGGTGGGTTTGTGCTCCGAGGAAGATAGCAGCCGATAGTCCACAATCCAGCACGGGTAGTTATTACGGTGTTATAACGTTCTTGAGCGACATGTTACATAGTCTTGACATAGCCAGGTAGAGCCAGGTAGAGTAACGAAAATGCCCTAGGAAAAGTAAAGTTGAAAAGGAAGACCAAGTATCAAGAAAAGTTAGTAGAAACCAGAAAAGTTGAGACTAGGTTGTGTATTGCCTAAAGTGGTGTATCAAGAAATTCTCACGCGTCTATCTACAGAAGAAATTACGGCAACAGCCGTGATTTCAAAATCTACGAACTGCGCGAGTAAGTATCCCATAGGACTCAGAAGACTGGATTGATTTATTCTATCGTAGACAGAAAACGATACAAACCTGTTGTCGGGAAGACTGGACGCTAAGATGCTGGACGTAGCATGAGGTGCATGCCTTCACTGAAACAACTCCTGTATCCCTTCGGCACCCACGTCTCTACTAGAAGCACTTCATTTGAAGTAGGCGGTCAGCATTCATTTATCTTTTTGATGCTTAATCATTCATGTCCAAAGACTGAATTGTTAGCATGTCGATCTCCTAACTCGCAAACACCGAGGCGCCCTGGAGGGGACTGCGCATATGTCGACAATGTCGTCTCTTGATACATATTCTCTGTTCCTTCGGGGGACTCTGCCGTGAATTGGAGGTCTGGAATAGAGGAGCTGGATGTAACCGTCCTGATAACAGATCCTCAATCACCCCACTTCATTTCACTCTGAAATATTGATGCCACTCACGTCCAAGCAACGCTGCGTCCATTCCCTCTTTCCACATGGCTCCGTCGTTATTTCTCTGCCCTGGCCATTATTGCTTCTTCATTCCGGCGAGGGGATCAAATTCAGAACGATGGTGCAATGGGAATCTACCGTTCTTCATCTAGACTCCATCAAGGGACATATCACGACGCTCATATACCGGACTCGAATGGAAAGATTCGTAGTACGAAGATAAAGCTGCCAATGGATGCGCCTAGAGCGCAAAGGATGTCTTTTCAATGTGTAAGCCAACACGGATATCGATCGAAGCGTCGGGCCAAGCCATCGATGCAGTGCAGCAATGGATGTGATCGACATTTTTCGCTTATAAACACCGAAGAGGAGGGGCGGTTCGGGAGGAAGCCCTGAGCTGGGACTTCCGCTGGTTCCACGCGGTTCCACCGCCCTCAAGGGATCTAGACCCTATTGGATACCGACGTTAGACTTCAGAGTCTTGGATGGAGATTCCTAGGGCGGCCTTTCCTCTTGTACGATCTACAGGCAGCCCAGGAACCCAGAACATTCACCAGAGAAGAAGAACGGAGGAGGATCATTTCCGGAGGGAAATGGCTAACGATGAAGGGGTCCACTTACCCACTCCCATTTTGTCGGCCGATATATAGTCGCTAACCCGTGCCCGAACGGAGTGGCGGTGGGCGGCTTACCGAAATCGGCCCCACTGAATGAATAGCACAGTCCCGCAAAGCCTAAGGACCCCCTCTCAGCCTAAGCCCTCAAGACACACCCAAGTTTGGCGCTACTCCGAAATGCGGTGGCACTAAATAAGAAGACATTATCTTGTTGCCAAGTTATGCTGAGAGACGGTGTACGGGACTAGTGGACACGAGCGGTAGTCCCGGGTTGGGAGGTAAGTAGCCGATGTAATCCGATGCCCATTCTACGTCCGAACGTATCCGAGCCTGTCAAAGTATACTTGGTACTCAAGCATGGTACATTTGGATTAGGAGAGTATTTTCCGTAATCACGACGTGATGAGAAGCATGACCCGCTTACCATTGTGAAGCTTCGTGCTTCCACATGGAAAATGACCACACTTCCTTACAAGAATGCTCCGGCGACGACGCATCACACTATCTTTCATGATTCAGATGGGAAAAATAAGTCAGAATCATCTTCCAGAAGCATTGAATGATGGGAAAGTGGGGTATATTCCCTGGAAACCACAGGGCTGCAAGACCCGCTTAAAGCCACATCCGTGAATTGACTGATGGATTGAAAAACCTACCTAGAAAACGCTCTTCAGTGGTCTCTAATCGACATTCCCAGAATACGACCTCGGAGCAACCGGCCCGCAAACCTCAGCAGTGTCCAAACATAGACATGCTAGATAGGTTTCTACTAGCGTTTCTGTGTAAGAGGGCTCATTAAAATTCAGTCCTGTTGCTCTTGCTTATCATTGTCATGCTCTGTCACGGTGTAAGTCTGACATCTACTTGATCGTAGTCAAGCTTACCAAAACTTACCTACCCGTCCTTCGACACCGGCGAACTAAATTTCCCTTTTTAGCCTCTATTAATAAATGTCTAGGCCTGCAGGTGGCGGCTAGCGATGTTTAGCTCCTTGCGGCTGGGTACTCGAACCATTTTCGATCAAGCTTCTTATCAGCTAACCGTACCTAAACGTTAATGCCTTACACCTGCCATCTTCGCGTAGCACATGGTCTTCACCTAGAATACCCATGCAGTCAACCCACACCCCTCAAACAGGAACTTTCTCCCTCCTGAATACGAGATCAATCACTGTCGATTGTTTTTTGCGCAAGGCGTATACAATATCGGAACGATCCCAGATCTAATTTACGCCGTCATCCCACTCATCTCAATGGTCAAATGTATTTTCCAATCCCCACCATTTCTCTTATCTTTGACCACAGGGGCCGCCTCGACAATGTGGAACAATGTCCTTGGCCTTCATTCTAGCTTGATGGAGCGAACCCATCGACCTGTATGCAGTTGACATGGACTGCACTGGCCTGCTGATCCGATATGTACCACAAACAATTCTATCTCGGCGCCAAAGTCTAGTTAATGGTCTCTACAAGTCCACAGCGGTGTCCACACGCCTCCAATTAATAATTGATGCTAGTTTCAAATGAAATCAACGCTCGGACTGCATGGTCTCAATGGATTATTTGATGGTGAGCCAATAAATATGAGCGTATAATAAATAACGGTTGCCCACGGCGATGTTTTTCAGATTCCTCTCACTTCCTCTTATCGTTTTAGGATTTTCGTAGCTAGGAACAGGAACGGAAGCACACGCCAAGCGATCATTCCGATCAACCGTGTATCTTTATTGGACGATAAAGAAGCGCTTATGTCAGCAATTCAATATCTTTACGGGAATTTATCAAGCCTTCGGGGATGTCGTTAAGTAAATTTCTTCCTACACCCCTTCATCTCAACCACGATGGTCAACGTCACTTACGACGCATGTAAGCCCTTATTTTTCTCCAGTTCCTCGAATTTTCTGATCTATTCTCAGCTGGTACTCTTACCACGACCGACGCAGACGGCGTCGTGAACGTATACAACAATGGTGACATTGCATGGACTCTTGCTTCCACTGCGCTTGTGTGGATTATGATCCCCGGTGTGGGGTACCTGTATTCGGGACTGTTGAGGAGGAAAAATGCACTTGGTCAAATTTATATGAGCGTTATGGTCTTGGCCGTCGTCTCTTTTCAAGTGCGTATGCAAAACCTTCCATTTGATCGTACGTTAAACGATTCGTGCAGTGGTTCTTCTGGGGCTACTCCCTCGCCTTCAGCGAGACTGGTAGCAAATACATTGGCGACCTCAGTGCGCATCCCAAATTCTTCATTAGTGTTATCTGACCCCTCGACAGAATACTTTGGTCTCAAAGGTGTCCTTGACGCTCCTTCAATGGGTAGTGTGCGCATACCTGCACTCGTTTTTTGCGTGTACCAGCTTATGTTCGCTGCAATCACCCCCATGCTTGCGGTTGGCGCCCTCGCAGAACGGGGACGTTTGGGTCCTGTACCCATATTCGTCTTCGTGTGGTCGACCATAGTCTATGATCCCATAGCTTGCTGGACCTGGTCGGCGAATGGATGGTCCTTCATCATGGGTGGTCTCGATTTCGCTGGTGGAACTCCAGTCCATATCTCTTCAGGGACTGCTGCGTTGGCTATCAGTATTTATCTTGGCAAGCGAAAAGGCTGGGGAACTGAGCGGCTATCATATAAGCCCCATAACACCAGTTATATCATTCTAGGTTAGACTCTTCTTGTCATCGAGTCCTCGCCAAAGCTAATACTTGACCTCAAGGCACCGTGCTGCTTTGGTTTGGATGGTTTGGTTTCAATGGCGGCAGTGCCCTAAGCGCCAACCTGAGGGCAGCCCAGGCATGCATAGTGACCAACCTCGCCG